GATGAAGATGATGATGATGATGATGATGATGAGGTTAATAAAGGAGGATGAGGAAACCCTACTGCGATACCTATGACGATGGCAATAATAGCGATGTTGATAAAGCTAAGGATAACGAAAACAACCACGACGATGACGGGAGATGATCATGGTGACAATGAGGACGACGATCGTTACAAAAACGATGAAGCGGATAACTGTAATAAAACTACCGTTTTCATTTTTTAACACTGAAAACTTTACTTGTTCGATAATAGTTATTACCTTGGGGTTCTGTTTTTGTAAAAATGGTGCTTTGATTACACATCGTGGAAGCCATCACAGACCAGTCGTTAGAGGATGGTCACATATGGTGCTTGGTATTCGTACGCTCTCACGCCGACTTCCAGACGATCTAACAAGAAGCTCTTTAAACTTGAAAATTCTGAAAAAATTACGTACAAGCAGTGAATGTGGAATATACATGGAGAGGGGGGGGCTAGCTCTCCGACAAGACATGGAGTCTTACAACTTCCGAGAAAGAAGAGGTCTTGAAGTTATGATTGGTGTCTATTGGCCGGCGCCAAGGAGGGAACATGGAGTTTAGGTACTGTACTGGGAAATTCTGGGCCATTTTATGTTATTCCTAGAAGTAGAACCTATAATTTTGTTTTATTTTATTTCAATTCACAGCCAAAATACAAGACGGGCACTCAATGCGCCCCCAACCGGTCGCCGGCCGACGCGAATCTATGGAGAACGCAACGCCACAACGCTCGCGCAACAGATCGTTTATGACGAGGGGGGCCGTTCAGACTACCACCGACAGTCAGCAGACGGCGTCACGTCGTCTAACGGAATTAGATTCGTCGGCCGACGGTCTTACGACGCAGTGAGTGCCCGGCTTAACGTTCATAGTGAAATCTACGTTCTCTTCGCCGAGGCAAAATTCCTGTGTTACCGACACAATATCCAGGATCATTTCATGTCTTACTTCATTATTTCTTTTTATTATCATATTAGGGTTCCTTCTGAAATTACGGTAAGTCTACCTCGCTGTGAAATAAAACCTATTTAGACCTAAACACGATATTAATTGCATGCGCTGCAAATAACGCCTAGTGTCTAGACTTACCGTCAGTTTGCAGTGGAAATCTGTTTATGCAAATCAAAGAAGCACCTTTTTCTTCTACCAACACTGAAACCTCCATTACAAGAATAACTGAAGCTGGAACACGTCAGTAGCAGACTCAAGAAATGCAATTGAAAGCTGAGATAGGTCTGCAATTGTTTACACGGTTACACCTGTGTTTATGTTAATTATTCTAAGGTGCACCTGCTTCGGACTTTTGTTTTCTGCATTGAACACATTCATAAAAGCCAACTGCGGTAGGGGTAACAGCATCATCGTCACCACAATCAGCATCAACATCAAGGCCTAGGCTTATTATTTAAATTCTACGTGGGTAAACGATCAGTATCTAACGTTAAACATTTCCAAAACTAAATACTTAGGCCTACAAATCTCAAGGAAAGTAAATAAAACTTTCAACTTATTTTATGTTGAAAATGTCGTAATTGAACAAATACTTTGTTTCAAAATATCTTGGCATTCATATTCAAGACGATCTGACTTGGAACAACCATATTCATAGCATTACAAAACAGGCAAATAAATTATTGGGTTTCATCTACAGACAGTTCTCACTGTCTGCGATTCTTATAAAAAAGAGCGACTGCTCACTAGTCCGCGCGTTTTCCCACGCTTAAATAGGATACAGGTTATTATATTGGGTTTTTGGAAGAGCTAATAAGATAGAATTTTAAAAATAATTAGGATGTTTATTTGTACAAAAAATATATTATTTAGAATGTTCATTTGTACAAAATTAAAATATCTTATATTGAAAAAAAAAATTAGTGGTAATGGCAGATTAATTTACAGTCCTTGCTGAAACACCTGTTTTGTTTTGTATGTGTAGGGGGATTCTGGGGTCCAACTTAAAAAAGGGCGATGTACGTTTGTTGGAAATCACCTCTAGTTTATGTGTACAAAATTGCATGCACATCCGTTCAAAACTGGCGACGCTGGACGCTTTGAAAGTTTTGGTAACAAGAACAAGTACAAAAACAGCAGTGAGGCTCTGGCAGGGGTGGCGCCAGGATTTGCCCGACGTGGGGAGGGCCGAGGTCCCGACGGTGGGGTCAGATTTCCCCGACGAAAGCAAAGTGGGCGTGGTCGAGCTTCGATTAAAAGGTTTCGAAAGTGGTCAAAGGGCTAAGCCCCAAAAAATTTTTGACAATTTAGGGGTTTCAAGGGCTTATTTAATCGATGTTAAAGTCTACTAATATGTAGAAAATACATACAATTTTTTTTCCCCGACGACGAATTGTGCTTTTTCTCGCTTAATGTTCTATTTGGTCGGTCGCATTCTGTTCTTTAAATCTGTGGTCGGCAATCCATGGTTCGCGACACAACTTTGGGCCGTGAGAGAATTTTTGAGGGTCGTCAGATCGCATCTACAGGTATGTATTAAAAAAAAAAAATTATACAGAAAGTCTTAAATGCTAAAATAAACACTTTTTAACATCAGTGGATTCTCAGGAAATCATCGAAACAAACAGCGCGCAGTTTGTTGAATAGTATTTGTGCTTCAAAATACACAGAAATATTGTGTTTTTATACTGTAATTTTATTTTGAATTTGCTGGGGCCCCTTGATGCCATGGGCCCGCCCTGGCTTTAGCCAGTGAGAGCTCTTAGCCGGTGACGCCCAGTGACTGGATATATTTCATTTGCCAACAATAGGGCCTTCATTAGCAAACAATAGGGCCTACAATTGAAAAAGTACAAAAGTATGCGCATACAGTTTGTAGTTTAAAAAAAAACAACTAAATTGCAGTATATATGACCTAATAATACAAGCAACAAATAGAAAAATACATGGTTCAAGAGACATTCAATAGAAAATACAAATACTATAAACATTTAAAATTCTTTTAAGAACAGGAAAAAGGGGCCTCTCAGACGTAATGAAGTTTAGGAATAATTACTGAGTACTCGTAAACTATAGAAATCTTCCTCTTATTTTGATAAATGGGTATAGCGCCATCTATAAAAAGTCACTTGCGATCTTTAATTTGTTTGCGAGAAAAGAGAGGAGAAGAGGAGGAGCTACTGCTTGTTTTAAAAAGTTTACGGCCACATCTTCTCTGTCGTCTTCGTACTGTGATGTGACGTTTGTGCATAATTTTAAGTGGAAGGTAAGTTAAAACTAACTTTATTTTCACTTTCCTTTTTACTGACGTACTTTTTATTACTTAGAGTATAGCATCTATCTGGTAACTGTTATACCAAATACATTCAACAAGAGATGTTTGTTCTCTACTGATTCTGAGGTAGGCCTAGGCTAGGCCAAGCCTCGGGCCAAGCCTCTATGATGTCCCTGAGACAGGTAGGTTTAAAGTCCCAGTGGGAGACTGCTCTCTACTGTGCCATGGTGAACACTGGACTTTTGATACTGGCATAGTTAGTGGGCATACCTTAGTTTATGTTGATTCTATTGCATGATTGTTCTTCATGTTTTCTTGTACATATATGAAATTTCATTACTAACTTATCAATAAAAAATTTAAACAACAGTACTGTCAGTAGACTTACGAGCGAGTAATGCCATTTTAATCATCATAGGCCTAGGCCCAAATGCAATATTAATGATATTCTTATTACAGATGCTTCTAATTCGTTACTATTTAGATTCAATCTGTACCATGTTTTATAATACTCTTTACTGATACCGATTTTTTTTTATCATAATCATTATTATTTTCAATATATATATTACTATGGCTACTATATTGTATTTTAATATTTATTTTAGTTACACTTTTAATGTTTTATTTATGGCATTATTTCTTACGTTGTTTGATCTCTACATGTATATCAGATGTTTTAAATTTTCCATGTATATGGATTTATATCATCTTATAATGCCTTTTACATGTACTTTATATATATATATATAGTAACTGTTGTATGTTAATTTTTTTTTTTTTTTTTTTTTTTTTTTACAGTAACAAATTCTTGGATTTTTGTTAGAATCGAAAGATTTATATACCTTAAAAATGTAGTTTCTTTTTTAGTCAGATTGTTGTTTTTTTTTTTTTTAATTGTGGTAATAATACTGTAAAATGAAGATTTATTATGAGCAATGACCAAGTTAAAAACAAATCAGCAGGCTGGCTCAATCGAAGGCTCACCAGGCATTGTTTGAGCATGGACCAGTTAGCATTATGGACTTACAGTATTACAATTTTCGAGTTTCTATTTAAGTAACATACAAAATTGTAGACAATTAAACAGTGAAGAGAGCACTGGCACTTTAAATATGTTTTTTGCTGAATTTTTAAATATTTTTCCAGATTTTGCTGGAGACATTTAAAAAGTAACTGTCATTTTCTCATTGCTAATTTTCAAGCTGTTGCTCTCATCATGAGAAAATAACCTGCTTTCTGCAAGGTCTCACCAATAAACTACTGTACTGTAGTATGAAAATAATTCATGCTCCCTATGGTGCTGGATTTTGAGAGTCTCTGATGGACAGGTTAAGCTGTTAATTTTATTCCTCCATGATTAAACCATATATTATTGGATCAGTGGTTCAACCTCAGCCAAGTCACATGATTAGTAGGCTATAGTAAAGTAATCACTACCAGTGTTCTCCCAATTTAAAAAAAAAAAATTTCTGGTAAATTTTTTCATAAAAACTCAGCTATTCACGCAGTGTGTGGCATTATCCTATTTGAGTGCGATTTAATGATTTGAAAAAACAACAATGTTTCCATTGATTGAATTACTGTGATTCTTGATTGATTAATTAATTGATTGATGATTAATTAATTGAAAAACCCCTAAGGACCTCACCATTCTTTACAATAACCCTTAAAACAATTGGCCTGATAATATCTAACAGCTTCAATAATTGTTGACTTATTAACAATCTGTGACAATCCTGCAGAGTGTTGCAAAAACTTCATCGGTTGTCAGCAGTTTAAGCAAAGAGAAATATCTTTAGACCTCCTTGGTTTAAGAATGTGTTTACTAAGATCCACATAATTTCTTTTACAGCCAAAAGTACTGGTTGAATTTCACTTTCTTCCTCTCTGTATTAAGAGTCAATAATGCCCACAGTAAACAATCAATGATATTTCGTAAATCCCCTGGATTTTTTAAGTTCTTATTATTTTAATACATTGCATTGTAAAAATAGATAACTTGTAATAATAGTATTAATTGTTTGGTTGTTTTCTTTTGATTGTTTCTTATTCTGTATTTTATATTTAATATTTTGGACTACAATGGAAATAAGTTTCCCTTTGTGGCTACTTTATTGTGTTTTTATCTATGAACATTATTTTTGTATACACTAAAGAAATAAAAATTTAAAAAAAATAAGTTTAGTTTCTGAACCAGTATTTGAACTAGGAGTTTGCCTCCTCAGTTTTAAAACTTGTATCTTCTTGTGTCAAAGTGAGTTATTTTCAACTGGCACGTGTCTTTGGTATTATTTCCTGTATTGTTCCCACTACCGTATTTGATACCTTCTTTACTTTTCTAGTCAAAAATACAAATATTTGGCCAAGCAGTACACTCTGCTTGTCACCCATAATCCCCAAACCCTTCACATAATTTCTGATAAGTGTTCAGTCTGTAAATGAGGAATGTTGGATAGAATAATGTGTTCACTGTTACAAAGAAGTGATATATTAGTTTGTAGAATTTTCTAAAGTTAGTAACAGAATCAAAGGTGCTTTGGCATTCAACTCACTGGTTAGTTTTTGCGCCATTGCCAAACAAAATTCGAAGTATAAATATTACCATCTATAGTAACTCAAATTTACCCATCCGAAGTCTGACCCGCTGGTCGGGTCGGAGTTCGACCCACTTGTAAAAAAATACAATGTGTAAATAAAAGCAGTAGGCCTTTTTTTAACGATAATTAACACTCTGCCCGCCAAACACTACTGTTACAGGTCACAGATTGTGATTAAAATAAGTTTTTGGTACCATTGTAAAGCTAAGATGTTTGTAGTTGTTGTAGTGTTTATTACATGTCAATTTGATCATATACACACTCTCAATGAGCTTCGGAAAAATGTTAAAATTCGCTAAAAATCTGACGGTGGCCTGATACTATTTTTTCAAATCCCTGTTAAGCAAGCATGCTTTTTTTTTCCTGGCTTGTTTAAATGGTTATATCATGGAGGTATACCGCCATGGTTATATTAGCTGTTTTCTCCCATTGACAAAGATGACCATAATTAAACAATCATTTCACTACTTGCTTTGATTTATTTTCAACTGGATATTATTATACATTTTTAAATTTTTTTATTTTGATTAAATCTTTATTTCTCTTTACTTAATGGTACTCCATCTATGATGGTAAGTAAATAGAAAAAGGTAAAATTACAAACTTGAATTGCTAGGTTTAAAATTAAAATTAAAAAACAAAAAAATTTAATCAAAATCTATTAGAAAAAAACTTTAAATATTTGTTTTTCTTTTCATTGAGAAGGAAAATAATTAACAAACAGATAATAATGATATACTGTAAGAATGAAAATAATTAACGAACAAATAATAATGATATACTCTAAGTGTAAGTTTAGGCCTATAGCTTCCACTGTGACATTGCTAACCTTAAATTGAGTAGAAAATTTAAAGTTTATTGTTTATACCACATGGAATGTTTTGGGGGGTTTAAGCTCATGCTGATTGGTCAATATGTTTATCCTGATCTAAGCTATTAATTCCAGTTTACTTGCATCAAGTATTAGTAACATGGGTATCTCATTCAAGTAAATCTCTGGAATTATATTTAACCATGGAATTGCAATTATCAAGTCTATGTTTTTAACCTTGAAATGGAAAGCAAAGATGTAGAAGCCCTCAAAATGCAATTGAAGTCTGCTTAGTTTTGAGTAAAAAAGTAGAATAATAATAATAATAATAAGATTAATAATAATAATAATAGTAATAATAATAACTAGACTTACTATGTCTGTTTGCACAACAGTACATTGGGCTTTTCCTCATTGCTATTATGAGAAATGAAGTTGAAATTACAACAAAAAAAGTCTGAAAAATATAAAGTAAAAAAAAAAAAACATGGAAACTATCTTGACATTAGTAAGAGTTGAACTATTGCTGCAGTGGTAATAGCGGGGTACTGTACATTGAGACTCATAACCATTGCGCACTATATGAGGCAAAATTTATAGGCTAGTGCATGTTCCGTACTTAGAGATTCAGTGACTGAAAGCAAAAATTGTTCATGCATATCACGGTAGTTTTGAGTTTAACCTAGCTACAGCTGGTTTAAATGCTTTAAAAAATGCAAATTTAATCATTTCTTCATTTGACCATGAAAAACTATTCTTTTTTTTCTTTCATTTTATAAATGGGATGTAAGCAATTTAAGTGACCCTTAAACTTTTCCGAAAGTTTCATTCAGGTCAATTAACACGTTTCTGAAATATCTGGTGTAGACGGTTTGCCCTTAAATTGGTCCTCACATGCACACCACACCCTACATGTAGATTGGCACCAAATACTAGGAGACACATCATTGATATGGTCTATGCTTTTGCAAAGAATGGAAAAGCTCCAAGCATGGGAAGTTACTAAAGTGCCGGCCAGACAAACCCAGTGCAAAAAGGTAGGGAAAAAGTATGCAAGAAAAACGAAAAAAAAAATCACAACAATAACAATGGCTTTTCCAGCTACTGCTGTGGAAAGCCAATAATAATAATAATAATAATAATAATAATAATAATAATAGTAATAATAATAATAGTAATATCAATAACAATAATAAAAAAAAATGAAATAAAAATAATAATGAAATCTTTATAAGGCACACATATCCATCTCAGAGAGCTGCTCGCTGCGCCATTTCCACCTGCAAATAGCAGCAGAGATTGTGGAGACGGTCCTCATTCGTGGAAATGCATGACGTGACGACTCACTGCTGTATCACTGAATCTACTGTAACTTTATTTTCCATTTTCCTGTGTACTGACTGGCATTGGTAGGCCTAAATTGTAATGGTATCAGTTTCATTCTGCTTCGGAGCAGAAACAGCAGATTATAAATGTTTAAAAACTTTTAAAGATACATAACTTTAAATATTTTCAAGGCTTATTAAGAATTGTAATTCCTTCATTTATTTTCAGTTAATGATAGGCTTAATTGCCTCCAA